AACGCTTTGCAAGACATCTGAAACCTGCCGTCATGGTATCTTTGGGCAGCCATCGCAGCCATTTTGATTTCAGAGACAAGCAGTGTGGTCAGCGGTGTAATGGCATCATGTAATATTAAACAAGTGTCCGTTTTCTTTGTTTCTATTTCTTTTCTTTTCCCGGTCAAGATAGTAGACCATTTTACAGGCGTGGACTCAGTCTCATGCCTTCAAGTGGATGTGAGGCTGACTGTGACCTTGTTTTGATGCAAACCTCCTTTGCTTAATTTGTTATGGAAATTGTCCTTGAAAAATACTGGTTAGCATAAGAATAACTTGATTTACATAATAAAGAAGGAAGGTTTGTAACAAAACAAGGTCACCGTCAGCCTTGCTTTTATCCATAACTGTAAAATGCCCTATTAAACAAATTTAACTATTTTGTTTCAAAATAGATGTTTTTTTGTTCTTTTACATTCAAATTGCCTGTTAATACAACATTAAAATGATTTTTCTCCTTTGAAACCTGGTAAAACAATGTTAATGAGCCCAGAAAAAATTGCATAATAATTATTTATTGCATAACATTCCTATCTTATTGACACAATCTGCCCTGAAAATGCTGCATATTTAATTTCTGATTTTTGATCGCACTCTATCAGAAGGCCTGTCCTATTGTTTCTGCCTTGTCTCTTGAAAGTGTGTGAAAGTGTGTTCCTCCCTATGAAGTTCATAATTGAGACCGAAAATGACAGTAGCCTTTGAAACCTTGTTTTTGCTGCCAAAGCCTAATGGGTACCCCAATTTTCACAGGAGACCTTTAATTTTAAATGGGCACGTTTCTGTAATGTATTTAACCCTATATATAAATGAGCTACTCCTCAACGTTTCCAGTGCAGCGATACAGCGATGTTTTGACGAAATTTCCCCAGAACAATTTCAAAATTTCAAGTTTCTCACAGGGTCCTGAGGAGTTTCGTGTGAATAAATGAATTACTTATTTAAAGTCTCACCTTAAAAAATGTCTATACTAGTGTCGCTTAGCACGATTAATTAGTCCAATGGCATCTTTATAAATCTACTGTAAACGATGATCGACTTTTGAAAATCGATGACCGCAAGCCATATCCTCGCCGGCACACGGCAAGTCGCCCGAAGGGTGACCGAAGGCTGTCGCCCGAAGGGCGACCGAGGCACGAAGTGCCGAGTAAAAGAATATTTTATACTGTAAGCCGATGTTGCGAGCCCTCAGTCTCTTGGTTTGCGGTCTATAGAATGTGTAACGAAACTGTAACGCGATCAAAATAACCCATTTTTTCGGAGGTTTTCGACGGGCTTTGATGTTCTATTAAACGACAAATAAATCTCCTCTGGACCCTGTGGTTTCTTTGCTCACAACATTTTTTGTGGAAACTTTGATCTCTCAATTAAACTTTTCTTTACTTTAAAATTTTTCCAAAGGGAAAGTTGGAGTTGCAGATTCAAAAGCTGCCATCAAATGCAACAACCGATGGCTTGTTTTGAAAACACTGTAAGCTAAAGCTACTCTGCTCTCTGTTTGTAGTGCTGCATGCATCAGTTAACTCCAAGTCCTTTCATGTAAATTAGAATAATTAACAATTATTCCTCGAGCCCGAATGGGCTATTGACTCAGAGGCCATGAGGGCAAGAGGAATAATTGTTTTAGTAAAATCCAACTAGTTGGTCAAAAATATCGCGACAAAACAACTTTTCGCTACAAGTGGGCTATAACGTATAGCCTAGTAGTAGCTCAACCAATCAGAATGCAGCATTGATAATAGATCACTAGTTGGATTTTACTAGTGCGAGTTATATAGGACTGTAGTGGGATGATGTTATTATACTCCTCCTTTTGCAGTTATTGTGACAGTTGTTAGCTAGGGAGCAACTTCTGTTCTGACTGGGCAGATTTATCAGGATGTTTTTAGAGATTGGAAATTCTCTTTTTCGAATTGCCTCAGCTTAAGTAGCCAATTACAAACAGGGTGGATTTACACTTTCTCTATTTTTCAATAAAGGCATTTACCTAGCTTGTCATTCTTAAAAAGCTTTGAAAGATATAGTACTCCCATGGCCAACCAAAAAAAATAGAATAATTTTGAAGTTCTTTTAACATCCATGTTATTCAAAATGCTCGTAACACAGTCTCAGACAACCTAGTTTCTCCCCAAGAGACTTGCACCTCCTGCTTTGTTTGGTCTGTCTCCTCACTGTATCGCACCTAACTGTAAAAAACCTGGCTACAGCCCTGAAGGATGCCAAAGCAGTAACTAGAAAGTGAGTTTGCTCTATTGTAATTGCCAATGAATGACTTTATAAAACAAGACAACATGCATTTTGTCTTTTGTTCTAAACAGGGTAAAAATTGAGGGTGTTGTCCCAAACAGGGTCAGGGTTTCAAACCCTCAGGTGCTCACCTATACCCAAATATTGGTCAAGTACCTCTACCCCAATGGGGATAATCCAGGGGTTCCTTGTGTATTTGGAATGGCCTGGAAAATGAGGTTAGAGACGATATAAATCTCAACTCTTTCAAATGTGCCCTGTCTTTGTGTTGAACCAGGGATTGCCTTGAGGGGCTTGTGACAGATGTAAACGGCTCACTGGAAAAGCATTTTTAATGAAGTGATACTGTGATTAAAGCTTGAGACTTTAAAGGCTTGAACTCTGCCAACAGAGAGGCAGCCGAGCACTCTTCCCCTTTCCAGCTTACAAAATGTTTAAATATCTCATAATTAAACTTTGTTACCCTTTTATACATTTTTCCACAAAATGTGCAAAAAAATCATGCATACAGTCAACTAGTGGTTAACTGTTAAGGACACCTCACTAATATTGACTGTAGGCTGGCTTCTCCATGGAGTCTTACTATTGTCGACATCCCTGCAAACACATCTGATCATTGCAATCATTAAACGGTTGAGACACCACAGTGACAATCTGGTTTTTTTTTCTATTAGTACTGCTAGTCTGATGTAAAAATAATCTGGAGAATCTAAATTGTAATGTACTGTTCTTTGTTAAGTTAAAAGGGGTTCTTTTCTTTTTCTTTCTTAGACCCTGTTTACATGGAGTGGGGGACCCCGGTCTAGTGGGGTAGGTTTCTTTTGTTTTGTGTCCCCCAGAGCGTGAAAACAAAAGAAACCAACACCACTAGACCGGGGTCCCCCACTCCATGTAAACAGGCCCTTAAACTACACTTCATTTACCACAGACCATGCACATTGTACATGACTAATAGTAGTAAAAAGAATGGAGATGATAAAAGTAAATAGTTGCCATATCTAAATATACAGTGTTTATGGTTCCTTATCCTACGCCTAAATTCGCTGCATTGTCTTAGTACAGAATCTTTCAATTTATAAATTCCATGCTTCGCTGATTAGTCTCGCTTGCGTAAGCAACGAGACTCATAATCTGTAAGCCGATTTTCTTCGTATTTTATGACACAAAAGGGGGGTCATTGTGCCAGGCGTTCCTAGCGGAGACTGTAGAAACTGGGAGTAAGAATCGTTGCGTGACCGAAGCCACGCATGTTTTGTGCAGAAAGCGTGAGAAAGATTAAATTTAGAGCTTTTCCGAAACGTGTCTGTCCACGAATTCTATCGCTTGAAAGCGTTGATTACTTTGGAACAAGTGAACACTACCGAGTGCTCGAATGAAAATGAGAATCTTTTTTAGCAAAACTGCGATGGCCGGGTGTTGTAAACTTTCATTGTTTGCAAATGGATCTGTAATGAGCATGCTTTTTATTTTCGGCGATGATAGAAATGACGTGCCATGTAAATCACTTTTTTGATCTCTGGCAATGATGTAATTTCTCTGGAATCGAGTCCCTTGAATTTTCGTGTATTTATTACACGCGTATAGCCTCCAACCGCAGACGTATTTCCGGTCATCGCTAACACGCGTACTAAATCAATTCAGAAAACAATAAAAAATAAATATCCTGATCCTGACGAATACTCGATGTCGATAAATTAGGAGGTAAAAAACCTTTAGCGAGTAAATCCTGTTTCGTGTAGAATTAATCGCCTCCCCATTTCTCGATCTAATCTCCAAGCAAGCGAGACTGAATGCCGCTGAAAGAACGTTCTTGTTTGACTTCCTTTTTGTAGTTTGTGATGCATGCGTTTTTATAAAAGGGCAAGCTTAAAAGTCATCACTTATATCCAGAAATCTGAGGGCCTGTTTACATAGAGGTGGGGGACCTCAGGTAGGTGAGGTAACCCGCTTAGGTGGGAAAAAAATAACCTTCCTGTACATGCAATCTTACGACTCCGCCGTCCGGGGGTGCACTTTCTCAAGATTATTGAATGGTCGCTAAGCACGTAAACGAGAAAAATCCTGGCAAACCACTTGTTTTGGCGGTTAATGGTCTTCTACTTTCACTTACTGCTTTCTGCAACCATCAGTCCTGTGGCTTTCTATTGTTATCTTTAATAATGATGCAAGTCCACCGCCAAAGTGAATTTTACGCGAATTTGACTTAACACGAATCCGAGGCGGGTTACGCCACCTTGAAACGTTTACATGGCAAAATTTGACCCAAGCTGAGAGGGTTACTCTGTCTGGCAGAGCGGGCTACCCCCCTTGGCGGTCACCCCACCTATCATGTAAACGTGATCAAATTACCCCACCAAAGCGGGTTACCTCACCTGTCTGGGGTCCCCCACCTCCATGTAAACAGGCCCTAAGATAAACTCACATTTTAGGTACTCCATATTATAGACACCATTATTTCTAATTTCCATATGACTTCATGTACATACATGTAGAATTTATTGTGTTTAGGTGAGGATTAAAACAAGGGACACTTCGTGATGGCTATCATATAAGAATCATGCGTCTCATTAACTTAATTGCAATCCTGGACATAGAAAGTCAAACCACAGTAGGACGGCATGAAGAGTCACTAATTGGTCAAGTACCTAGTGATAAATTTGTTGAATGATTTGCTGTTTTGTTTTCTTTTAGATGTTTGGCCATTCTGATCGTGCATGGAAATGACAACTTTTCAGGAAAGATCTCGCAAAGTGCAAGTCACCATTTTGGCCTCTGAATGGGGATCAAGCAAAGGAGGGTTATCAACCTTAAACAGAGAATTAGCCATTCAGCTAGCTAAATGTCCTGAAGCGGAAATCACTTTCTTTCTTCCAAAATGCAGTCAAGAGGATGAAAAGTTAGCCCTTCAACACAACGTAAAGATCGTTGAGGCATCACGCCGACCTGGCTTTGAAGAACTGGAGTGGCTTACCTTTCCACCCGAACATTTACAAATAGATGTAATCGTTGGTCATGGAGTTAAACTGGGTAAACAAGCACAAATCATTAAAGAACGTAAGAACTGCAAATGGATCCAAGTCGTACACACAGACCCAGAAGAACTGGGAATGTTTAAGAACTATTCCAACCCAATTTCCAAGGGTGAAGAGAAACATAAAACAGAGGTAAAGTTGTGTGAAATGGCGGACCTCGTTCTAGGAGTTGGGCCCAAGTTGAGTGAGGCCTTCCGTTCGTATCTTCGAGGCTGCCAAAAAGATAAAAGTGTAGTGGACTTGACGCCTGGAGTATTTGAAGAGTTTTTCAGCGTGAGACAGGTTGTGGAAGAAAGAAAACAATGCAATGTCTTGGTGTTTGGTCGTGGGGACGCAGAGGATTTCGAACTAAAGGGATTTGACATCGCTGGCAAAGCTGTTGCACCATTAGAAGATACTCGTCTTGTGTTTGTTGGCGCCCAAGATGGAAAACACGAAGAAATAGCGAAGCGGTTAACCGGATGTGGTGTTCCTGCAAGTCGCTTGAGAGTAAGAGGATTTATGGAGGACCGAGAGAGTTTAAAGCGCTTGTTTCAGGAAGTGGATCTTGTAGTCATGCCTTCACGAACGGAGGGCTTTGGGTTGGCAGGACTTGAGGCCCTGTCAGCTGGTCTCCCTGTGCTTGTCAGCCGCAATGTTTGGAGAAGCACTGTGCAGTGTACCATTTTTTGGTTCCTTTTCCATCCTTTGTATCCTTTTCCATCCTTTTCCTTTTCCATCCTTTGTAGTAAATTCAGAGGACCCCACTGATTGGACTGCAGCCATCTCGAAAATATGGGCCAAGGGCAGAAAAAGTCGACTTGAGGAAGTGGAAACTTTGCGCGATTCGTACGACAAGACATACAACTGGGCCAAACAGATAAAAGATCTTCTTCACAAGATGATCAGCTGGACTAACGGTATGAATGTAAATGACACTTTTTTATTGTATTTTGATTTAAGCACTATGACCACGCCTGCTGATAATGGCAGCAAATTTTAGTTTTGTTAATTTAACCCCTCCTTTAAATCAACAATTTTTTATGTTTAGGTCGGGCTGTCCACTCTAAAAAATTTATTTGGATTACTTAAAACGCTGTCTAGGATGAAAAGAAACAAAGTTTGTTTCTTGTAAATGGTGTTATATACAACCAAAGTTTACGGAATCCAGAAAACAAGAAACCTGAGCGGTTTTACTCTTCCATACATTCCTAAAAGACAACAATCTTGTCATTTTTTCTGCAGTTGATTTTTCAAATGTCCAGAGCTTCCCCGAAACAATAGGTGGAACCGTTGTATCTTCTCAGCTGGCTTCTCAGGCTACAGGAGGCACGACAGAGAAACATGCAGGTAACCCTTAAATCTAAAGCGTGATCGGAATAAACAGCGTCGACGATTTCTCTTCCAATTCTGTTTTTGATGGTCGGTTACGGTCCAATGCCGGAGTCACCTTTTAAACTCTATAACAGTTATCCCGCTATAGAACTCATTTCTAGTCTTTTGAGAAGAGGATCTAGAGCGGAAAACTTGGTTGCGTTCACAGCGGCAATAACCTAATTTCGCAGGGATTTAAGTAATGGTCGCTTACGCGATCATTTCTTGCCCTCGGTAATGAATGCATGACAGAACAACTAAGCACATATGATAAACAATTTTAACCCTTCAAAGTTAATTGTCTCAGTTCGTTCCTGTAGTACGTTTCAGAAACGAAACGTCTATGGATATGACACTGATTGCCTTTTGTATCTTATTTGTTTGTAAGGTGAGTGTGGGGTTGAAAGGAGGAAAAGAAACATTGAGGAGGACATCGCGAAGAAACTTCAAACTGGAGCAATGGCCTCAAAGACCATGCGCGATATCGTGGCTTCCGGATCAACAAGTAAGAGCTCATGATAAAGCTCAACTTCGCTGCGTCCCAGCATCAGTCTTCTCTTTTCCTTTCTCTTGCTTTGCTTCAAGTGTTCCTTATCTGTTCTGTTGTTTTGTTACTTCGTTGAAATCCCACGACTGTCTTCTGCAAAACAGTCCCTTTCAAAATTGATCATATTTACGGTCGTTCTGAAAAATGTCGACAAAGGAGACATTCTCTTGGGAGCAACGCTTGGTTTGTGATGAGAATAGGCTTTTAAGCGAATAATGTCTATACAGTGTACTTCGATTTTAACACACGTACTGTATCTTAAAGGATTTTACTTTACTAGATCTAGTAAACAAATAATGATTTTGTTTGATTCTTCTTTTAGATCTTGATTCAACTCAGTATACCTCCACCAAGGGGAGATCAAATTATTCCTGGTTATGTCGTGTTCTAATCAGCTTGGGTTCAAAAGCCCTCAGAGAAACGTTTGACAGAATAATCCCTCCACCAAGTCTGCAACGCGTTCTGAAACGGAACCCAGCACACTCTAAACTTCAGTCACGTCGAAAGGAAGGGATACTAAACTCAGTCCAGTGGAGTAAACTGTATCCTACCACACCCTCCGAAGTTTCGTCGGCGGGCTTCGACATCCCCCTGCTTATGGTTCTTCTAAGGACAATCTGTGATCTAAGTCCTCCACCCGCTGGTTGGGATGCTCCTCCTCTTCCCGAAGACCTAAGCCGTGAGTCTGACATTGCGCGTCTGACATATTTCTTCAACGCCGTGTCCAGTCATACTGGAGAAGGTTTTGTTAGTGATGCTGTATTCAGTAGCTACTGGCAGCAGATCCATGACACTCTGGTACGATTGGGAGGAGCTGATTATGAAGATGTCATTGAGCAAATGAGGTGTCAGGAAATGGACGTCCTAAGTGAGGAACATTTCAGAGAACTTCTCAAGCAGTGGAGAAAGGTGGAGGACAATATCAAAGACAAACTGAATGAACTGGAAAGCACAGAGGCTTTAAAGATGACAGGTAATAATAATAGTGAGGTTTTCAGGAACTATTTACAATTTATAAAAGCAAAAATGACAATAAAAACTCGAAATCACAATTTATGATGGTATTCTACTAAATTCTAGAGCTTATGAAGGAAAGGTGAGCTTTGGTGGTAAAAATATGTCTGCTGTTTGTATTAACATGGCTAGAGTTTTTCAGAATTATTATAATTGTATAAGAAAAATTTCGATGTGGTCAGATTGGCAACGAACGGTAATGTTTGTTATGTGCTTTGCTATATATAACTAGGTCCTGCCTAAAAAGGTAAAATTGTCATTGAACGTTTTTAATTTATCTAAAGATTAGGCAAACGTACGTTTTGCGAAGAGACTAGATGCTGAGTCTGAATCACGCTAGGTCTTGAGTAGACTGTCTTCCAACGTATTTTGATAACCCTGAATCTGAAGATTGCTATGAAATTGCAATCTTCAGATTAAGTGGAGGCGTTGTCCTCCACATACAAATATGGTCTGTTCCTTAAAGTTGAGCCCTTCTCCCACGGGAGCAATCGTGGATAGGTTGAACTTACTGCAATATTGAACACGATTGATTTTTTTCCCAGGCGTTGAAATAAGTAATGTGTAGGCCCTAGTAACGTGCAGTGAAAATTGATTTGCTTGGAAATAACCCATTTTTGTAGGTTACATGTAAAACAATAGCTTACTAAAATAATGATACTTATGAAAGAAGAGAAATGTTATAAATGTACTCGCGAAGACAAGTAGTATAGTACAGACGAACTAACGGAGGGATAAAAGTGTAGAGGAAAAGACTTCTGTAGTCCTAGCTGACTCGCATCCGAAGACGCAGTGAGAACATAAAGCTACGTCAGTAAGAAAAGAAGACTAATAACTAACCGTACCGAAAATCTCGCGTAAGACAACAAGAGTAGTTGGGAGATGTAGAGTCACGTAGTAGACAAGCGGCAAACGTGAGATCAATTTTGCAATTTTTCAAACTAGGAGATGAGCAGAAAAAACTGTCTTAAATATTTTTAGTTGTAGATAAACCTAAACCGTCTTTTTTAAAATAGAATAAACAGTAGGTGACAAGTAAAGGGAAAACTTATTGACGTGATACAATTTGATGTTTGCCGTAAACGTGATTCTAAGTCGTGATGTAGACACAATCGACTACAACAGCAGGAATGGTCTGACGTACAGCAAAGCGATAAGAAGGCTAGACTACCACCACATGAACGCAGCGACGTAACAAAAAGCGGTAACGAAACATGACCTACATATATTGACATACGGGAACAGTTAATTCCATAGAGAGGAAATTATGTACGGGAAAACGGTTTGACCTGGAAATGATTACGCACGAACAAAACTAGAACAACAAATGAACAAGGATTTTGATTTAACGAGCGGACTCAAAAGCGAGCTGCAAGCGCAGTACATTCCCAGCTGCAATAAGATTTTTTAAAAATTTTCTTTTCCATACCTGTTGACAATGGTAACTGGGCTGGGCACAATCGAAGGATTCCTTTTTCTTTTTAGGGTTTTCTTTGGCGGCAAAATAGACTGTTAACGGTCCCCTATTGTCAGGATCGAAGGCTTTTCGGTACGGGCGGCCTTCTTGGTTAGGCTTTGTTTCGGACATTGAAACCCAGATGGCCACCCTTAAAGCAAAGCGTTCGATCTCGACGATCTTACGGAAAAGCAGGGGATTGTGGACAGTCTAGCGGAAAAACAAGCTCATGTTATGATCTTTTTAACTTCTGGTCGATGAAACAAATAACAAGCAGTTACGGAAACCTTTTTTCAAGGTGAAACGAAAATCACTCTAATAGGGCACGAACAAGGCGACATACGGAAAAGCGGTGAGAACACAACACTAATGCCATACGAATAAGCCGACGTACGGAAGTGAGGTTAGAAGACAATACTCAGTATACGTTTTCTGTCCCACTAGCACTGTCCTGTGTTATACAATTTCCACTATAAACAGTAATTATCGGACAAGATGACCGACCATTAATTGTTAGGCTGACATAGTCGCGGTTGACCTGCCTTTATTTCAAGTCTTGGTTTTCGTACAATGTAAATCTCGAAGAGGTTAGTTTAGAAGAAAATAGTCATCCCACACTAACTCATTAACCAACGAGAGGACCTACGGAAAAATGTTTAAAAGGCAGTGCTAATACGGAAGAATCTGGAAATGTTGGAGGGAGAAACGCAGGGTAACATTGGTAGTATTGTTGATTTTTAAGTGCGCTTTCGTAGATGTCAGTATGATTTCTGTCCAACTGCGCATTGTTACACAATTTCCACTATAAACAGTAATTATTGGACACCATGACCGACCATTAATTGTTGAGCTGACGCTGACATAGTCACGGTTGACCTGCCTTGATTTCAAGTCTTGGTTTTCGTGCAATGTAAATCTCAATGCGTGCATTCCTTTTCATATTTGCAGCATTGAAACCTCAACACACGTAATTTACGCAAGCCAAACAAAATGCAGGTTATGATTTTTTTTTTTTGCATTTTTTTAGATTTTTCATTCCCAAACGAAATTGTGGAAAAGATTCGTCAACTCTACGGAACACGCGAACAACGCCTCCTGCCCGTTCCTTGGTGTGAAGATTTCAGCTTTCACCTGAATGAAATTTTTACCAGGTTAAAGATCGTGAGCAAAGAAAAAACCCGAGGAGTACTTACTGACGATATTACAAATATGACTGCAATCTTCAAGGCGCACTCAGAATGCCAAAGGCCGCGAACAGTCTTGATTGAAGGAGACCCTGGCATGGGTAAAAGCACGTACTGTCAGAAGCTGGCTTATGATTGGGCAACTAAGCAGAAGGAGTTGGACCCCTCTTTTCCAGACATCGACGTGCTACTACTTCTCAAATGTCACGAAGTGAAATCTAGCATCTGGAAAGCTATTGATGATCAAATTCTTCCTGCGGAAATTGACGATCAAGCTAGAGAATGTTTCTTCAAAATCGTTCGTGAAAATCAGTCGAAAGTCCTGTTAGTACTTGATGGATTAGATGAAATGGACTCCACTGAAATGAAAATAATCTATAACTTGGTTGAGGGTAAAGAACTTTCAGGTTGTCACGTAATGCTCACATCTCGTCATGAGGTAGGGAGGAAACTAAGGAGGTATTGTGACACTCTGTGGGAGATTGTAGGGTTCACCGAACAAGATGCAAACAGTTTTATTCGTACGTACTTTGAAAACATCAACAGGGAGGACCTACTGGGGAATTTCCTGCAACAGATTCGGTATTCGCGTGAGTTGAGAAACTTGTCGAAAAACCCCCTAAACGTAACCTTACTTTGTGTTCTTTGTGAAGATTTAGAGGGCGTTTTTCCAACGAGCAGGACTGAATTGTACACCGAGATTGTCCTTTGTGTCTTAAGACGATATGAAAAAAAGCAAGGATTGTCGTGCAAAAGTGAAGACCTTATAAGCATCTACAGAGAGGATCTAATACATCTGGGACGAGTGGCGTTACACGCTATTCGAAAAGGACAGCTATATTTTGAAGAACACGAGTCTGGGAGTACCTCTGTTGCTTTATCCAAGTTTGGATTTCTTTCAGTCCAGGCTAGTGGCTGTAAGAGGAAAGCTCTTGTACGTTATGCATTTCTCCACAAAAGCTTCCAGGAGTTCTTTTCTGGATTTTATCTTGCTTGCCAAATTGTTGATGGAGGTATTGACTGTGTCACAGTAGTAGAAGACGAAAAATTTAAAGGTGAACTAAAGCAAGTCTTTTTGTTCATGGTTGGAAATTTAGCCTCGACGAGCAAGGAGGCAGCAGAGTCTGTTATTGGAACTATGGCTGAAAAGATTAATTTAGTAGATCCAGATTGTAAGAAAGACATTTGTGTATTATTTCATTTAGCCTTAGGCTGCATTTTAGAGTGCACAAGTTTATCTCGTACCCTAGGGTTACACCTTCACATAAGCGATTTAGATTTGAGTAGTACTCGAATTTATGATTCTGGTGCTGCTTCTCTTTCGCAGGTTCTTGCAGCCAACTCCTCCTTAACCAGTTTGAATTTGAGAGAGAATGGGATTGGCGATTCTGGTGCTGCTTCTCTTTCCCAGGTTCTTGCAACCCACTCCTCCTTAACTAGTTTGGGTTTAGGTAGGAACGAAATTGGTGATTCTGGTGCTACTTCCCTTTCCCAGGCTCTTGCAGTCAACTCCTCTTTAATCAATTTGGGTTTGGGTGGGAACAACATTGGTGATTCTGGTGCTACTTCCCTTTCCCAGGCTCTTGCAGTCAACTCCTCTTTAATCAATTTGGGTTTGGGTGGGAACAACATTGGTGATTCTGGTGCAGCTTCCCTTTCCAAGGCTCTGGCAGTCAACTCCTCTTTAACTTATTTGGATTTGGGTGTTAACAACATTTCTGTGTCTGGTGCTACTTCCCTTTCCCAGGTTCTTGCAGTCAACTCCTCTTTAACTTATTTGGATTTAGGTGAGAACAAAATTCATGGTTCTGGTGCAGCTTCCCTTTCCCAGGCTCTTGCGACCAACTCCTCCTTAACTGGTTTGGATTTGAGTAAGAACGTCATTCGTAGTTCTGGTGCTACCTCCCTTTTCCAAGCTCTTGCGAACAACAACTCCTTACTCAGTTTGAATTTAAGTGGGAACGGCATTGGTGATTTAGGTGCTGATTCCATTTCTCAGACTCTTGCAGTCAACTCCTCTTTAATTAGTTTGGATTTGAGTGAAAATCAAATTACTGATTTCGGTGCTGCTTCCCTTTCCGAGGGTCTTCGGACCAACTCCTCTTTAACTAGTTTGGATTTGAAATTAAACTTTATTGGTCATTGTGGTACTGCTTATCTTTCCGAGGCTCTTTCAGCCAGCTTCTCCTTAAATAGTTTGGATTTGTTTGGAAACTACTGTACTGACGATGATTATGATGTTCTGTGTCTTATGGAGGCTCTTGAAGACCTCCCCTCTTAACTTACCGTATTTATTCGATTAACCGCCCTTAACGCTTCTTAAAATTTTGGACCTTGAGAGTGGGCGGTTATTAGAGGCTGGGCGCTCGTCAAATTTCCACAATTTTCAGTAAGTGTAGTATGTCTATTTTGGAACAAAACAATAAAGGAAAATTCCAACGTTCTCGGTAGTTATGAATCTAGAGATTGTAAGCTAGTGAATAAACAATAATCAATACTACTCTCGTGCACTTAATTTTTTTTTTTAATGGTTGGGTGAATAAAAAATACTGCTTACTGCTCGTGGTAGTTTATTTTTTTTTTTTAAGGGTTGGGAGGGGGAGGGGGGTTGGGCGCTTATTTCCGTTTGAGTGGGAGGGGGAGGTGGTGGACACTTACGAATTTTTCTGCCTTTAGGATAGGCACTTATTAGAGGTAGGTGCTAATTCGAGGTTGGGTGCTTACTCGAATGAATATGATATTTGGGTTTGAGTTGGAACGGGATTGGTGATTCTGGTGCTGCTTCCCTTTCCCAGGATCTTGCAGTCAACCCGTAACTATCTCGTATTTGGAAAGTGAGGAAGAGGAAGAACTAAGCCACGTTCGGAGAAGATGAGTACGTTAATTTGTTTACTTAGTCCTTAACTTTTTTTAGTTTTAAAAATTCCCAGAAATTGTATGGTCCGAAAGAAGCTAACCCTTTAGAGTAAATTTCAGGAAGGCATGATAAATGAAGTATTTCCTCCGAACGCTTAAATAGTTGAAAAATGGGCCTGGGAGACCTTTTAAAGATCTCTGAAGCCCACAGTTTAGTCCAATCTGACGATGCGGTAAGTTAACTACAGTGGCTAGGATTAATTTCTTTGTTGTTGTTGTTGTTTTAACTTGATTTAGTAGTTCCATTCATATTCAATAGCGATAGACAAAGTTTACACTGGCAGCAGCTACTAGAAAAGGTAATCAGTCCTGATTGGTCAAGCATTCTGTCGCCCCATGTAAGGGAATCCGGATTCTGGTTTCCGTGAAATTTTCGCTTGTGGAATCCGGAAACCTGGGTTTTGGATTCCGGAATATAACACAAGGAGTCCAGCATCCCACTAACACTTGGAATCCAGAATCTAAGTTCCATTGAGACTGGAATCCAGTACCTGGAGTCAGGAATCCATGGCGTTGAATTCAGAATCCAAGACTGTCTGGGAATCCTTTGGATTCCCTTACATGCAGCGAATTCTGGTAGTTTTATATCGTTGAAATGGACCGTTGATAAACAAAAAGGGAAATCAAACAGTTTCAGTGCCTGTTCATTCTTTTAGGTTCCACTAAAGGAATCAAGTTCTTCACGTCACTGAACGGTCTGTAGGTTCTCATTTACTTGGGTAGCAAATGACAAGGGTCGGTTTTTCAAACGAAGTTTGTCTTATAACGAGGTTTTATATCATAAGACCTCCATATCTCTTTACAAAGTCTTGACACTGTTTGAAAAAAAAAACAAACTGTTAAGCTGGTTTGTTTCGAGAAATTGAAAATGAGATAGAACACGTCTTAACTTGCTAAACCTTTCAGTTGTTTGTTTATAGCCGACCCCAAAGGCTTCGTCTTTAGTCCCGTGTTCGTCTGAAGACGATTAATTTTACCCAGATTTCATGGCAAAGTTAAATACAATTTGATCCTCTATAAATAAGGAGCGGGAGCTTAATATGTCAACGCTTTTGGCAGTGCAAAACAGTCTATAATAAAGCTAACCCAATCGTGGGTGAATATTTTAACCCTTGGTGACTTAACACTGCCCTCGAACTTCTGGGCGTTTAATTTCGTCACGGAATTAATTAATTTAATTTCACTTTTAATTTAATTAACCATTTTCGTTCTGGAATTGTTACAAAGACAATTGTTTGTGTCTTTTAAAAATGGACTTTTATGTGCACTGTCCTCATTAATTACTGCAAGTTCACACTCCCGTGTATTGCGTAAATATATGGCAAAAGCTTATTTATTTTACCCTGTGTATCGCCACCCCTCCCCTCAGAGTGGAAGGGGTGGATGCACACAGGCTAATTTATTTAGGCCATTGTAGATGGTTCGGCTCCGACTAATTTTAGTATCGTATCGATGTTTGGTATATATATATAAAAAATTAATTTGTATCATATTACCGTGCAACTAGATTTAACCTCATCCCGTGTAGAGTCTGTTGTTTGTAACTTCGCAACTTTTCTTTTTACACTATCTACCGGCCTTGTTTGACTACTGAAGATGACTACCGCACAGGTTGTCGAAACGTCAGTCACCGTCAACAACAACAGCCTTATTCAAGACTACGTTCACGCGGACGATCAAACTCAACCTACTTTTGAAATGACTCCTGGGTTCAAACCTTTCAAAGTTATACCAACAATGTTAACAGATTGACATCTGGGATTGTCACAGTTGATATCTCGCACCATTAGCCAGTCTTTTGTATGGTTGACCCACCTCTCAAAAAGCAAAATAGACAAAATACGTATTTAAGAGACTACTGTAGTAAATTTAACACAGAATCATACCTCCATGATATTCATACAATTGACTGGAATGCGGTAACTGAACAAGGCACTGATTTGCGTGAGGTAACTGCTCGCACTATTGATGCAGTTGAATTGATTGTTGAAAAGCATGCACCGAAAAGAACACTGTCTAGGAATCAACAACTGATAAAGACAAAAACAAAAAGCCAGACTAGCTCCCCTAAGAATAGCTAGGAATAACAAGATATATACCAATAATGAAGATATTGCAGATCAGTTTAATAAACATTTTATTAATGAAGGCCCAAACTTGGCCAGTAAAACTGACAAAAGCAATGAAAATCCTCACAATATATCTCGTCATCTTCAATTAACAGTTTTGTTATGGAAAATGTCACAGAAGCTCAGGTTTCTAACTTATTCAAAAACCTAGATACAAACAAATCATCAATTGACATACCTAGCAAACTAATAAAAATAGCGGCTGAGCCATTATCTGTTCCATTCACGCAAATTTATAATCAATCGATTGAAACTGGTATAGTTCCAAATATATTAAAAGTTTCACAGGTTACTCCAGTGTACAAATTAAAAGTGGTGATGCAACTAACCCAGCCAACTATAGGCCTATTTCAACTCTCTCGTCTTTTCGTAAGGTTTTTGGAAAAGTTAATTTATAACCAACTATACAACTTCCTTGAAAAATATTTCATTTTCTATAAGTATCAACTTGGATTTAGGAAGGGTTACTCCACTGAGCAGGCCATCTTAGAAATTACTGACTCACTTAAGTGACTGTCCACCTACGAGCGGTCCGGCGAGTTTGGGATCGCCATTAAACCTACCTTTGTTTTTTGTGGGTGAAAAGGACTTAATGAGGAATGATTAAAATCGAAACATTTTTTTTCAAAATCCTTTTCTGTACTTCGCTACAGCGCAAAACTTCTTTCCTGTCTGAGAGCGCTTTTTCAACCTTATTCGATGGCCGAAATTCGGTGATTTTAAAAGCCGCGCTTCTTCGTAACGGATAAATATCGCTAAATTCTACATAGTACAATGGATTTAGCTGCAGTTGGCTTGTCCTATGAGGAAATATGGAATAATTTGCCGCAAAATTAAAGTAAATTAATAAAATCAAACACAAACCCCTTCGCGTTTCTTTTTTTCCCTCTTGACGAATTCTTCCAAAGTAAAAGCTAAAATGTCCAAAGCGGTACAAAAATGACAGGTAAAATGCACTTCACGGCAAAGATCTTACCTTATTCTGTCAGAAAATAAAGTAAAAGGTGCGGGTATCTTTCTGGGTTGGACGTGATCAAACGTTTTTAAGAGCCTCTTTTCAAAAATATTTGCATAGATTTGCCCGCTTTACGGTTCACACACAACGACTTTAAGAGGCAGTCTCCCTAAAAGCGGTCCACTCGATTTCGCGACAAAAAATACTTTTCCTTTATTTTTTGTCGGTGAAGAGGCTTTAGTAGGTGTATACTAAAATCGCTATTTTTGTTTTCAAATTCTTATTCTTAGCTCTGCTACAAGCCAAAAACGAATTGAGTCCGTCCCGGCTTCTCAGAGAGTGTTTCGAAGACTACAATTGATGGATTTTGAAAAGCGCGTTGCAGACAAACGAATGCCCGCACAAAAAATCTGTTCGATTCAGTTTTTTTAGTTAACCTTCGATAGTTCACAGGCTAAATAAAAATATCTTTGATCAAAACATGTTCAAGTTACAGTGGTTCAAAGAATACCTATTTTGCAGGCTTAATCCAAACCCTGAAAGTAAGGAAGATTGGAGGGAAAATATCTCAAAAGTTTTGGCCTAAATCTGGTTTAAAAATCATATCAAAGTAAAGTTTTAAGCTTATTTTTTTGGTTTATAGGTTCAGACTTGTGGGTATCTTCTGGGATTGCAAGCAACAGTAGATTGTAATCTGCCATTTTGCGTATTTGCATAATTACTGGCCGTGTCAGATGTCATGATTGTACAGGTTAAAAGTTCCATGAAATTGCCCCTTTTCACACTTGAATTCGTCTCCGGCCTCTAAAAGAAAGTAATTAAGCTTCTTTAAGTACTTTTGAATCGAAAAAGATATACTAACAGGGATGGTCATGCATGTTACTGATTACCACGATCAACTGGCGGGCGCCG